GCTTCTTTCCAACTACTACAGGCTGCCCGTCTGCATCCCCAGAGCCCCTGTAGGGACGCTCACGGTTACGCTGGGCCCCCTCGCAGCATCTTTAATTTAGTCACGTTTGCAAAGCCCCTTTTGCCATGTAGGGTAATTTCACAGGTTTGGCTATCGGGACGTGGATGTCGTTGGGCGCCGTTATTCTACCTACCATACCTAGTGTGCCCAGTTTTTATTTTAAAAACACGCGTGTGCATAGAGGAGTAGGAGCACGTACGTAAATGTCAGAGCGCTTGCCTCTGGAAGATGGGCGTTCTTGGGCTTCTCACTTTCTTATATTCTAATTTTCTACAAAGAGCACATACGAGGATACTTCAAAAGGTGTGTGGAAAGTGGAATTAAGATAATAGGAATTGGGCTGGCCGGTAGCTGGTTGGTTAGTGTGGTGTTCCAAGGTCAAGGGTTCAGATGCCTGTACCAGCCAGCCACCTAAAAATAAGTAAATAAAAAAGAAAAAGATAATGAGTCTTTTCATGAACGTTTTGAAGCACGCCTGTACTGCTCACGTGGTAAAAACCATGTTAAAGCTGTTGGAGCTCCAGTGCCCCGTAGCCCCCTGTCTACCCCTCGGCGCAGTCTCCCTCTTTTCTCACCCTTTCTGACTGTGTAGCTTCTCCCGGAAACTCAGCAGCACACACACCATCTTACTGCAGCAAGGTGGAAGGGAGGCGCTGGCGGCCTTCACACCCCGACTCGTCCTGAGCATCTTGCCGGGCACTGGATGCACCCTGAGCCTGGGCTTGTCTGCGTGGTCCGCCCCTGTCCAGCCACCGCTTACCTGGAACCCTGGACCCTGAGTTGGTGGCTCCACCCCCTTATTCATAAATTTGTTCCCCAAATTTAGTAACCCTTTACGTACAAGTCCAAAGAACCAACGTTCCCTGTCCGCTCTGTGCTGCCCCTTGGCGGCGGTGGAGATTGGGCCAGGTCTGCAGGGAGTGGTGCATGCAGTGTTGGGGAAACAACTCTGCAGTCCACTTCCTCTCCCCACAGCTCCTGGTCAGCCCCCGCCCGGCCCCCTCTTGCCTTCTCAGAGGACCTCCCTGACCTCCTCCCTGCCACGCCACACCCCTGAGTACCCTTTACCCTGACTTAATTTCCCCTGTTTCAGTTCCATGCATTTCCCCCTGGACTGTAAGATCCATGAGGGCAGAGACCTTTGCCTTGTTCTGCTATAGCCCAAGCACCTAGAACAGTCCTGGCATACAGTAGGTGCTCAGTGAACAGTGGTTGGGTAGATGAATGCCTGCGTGATGGGAACACATCAAGCACCCCCTGTTGTAACAAGTGTGCAGGTCAGTCTCGATTAAATAGCCGCAGCCCGCGTGTGCAGGAGGGTGGACACCTGGGGAGACTCCTGCTTCCATGGTGGTGATGCAAGAACTCTCCATGCCCCCACCTCAGAGTTTTTTCAGACAGTGCTCTAATATGTCCTGTTCTTCATGTTTAAAAGATTTAACAGTGTGCCCTTGAAGCTCTTTATCAGTAGTAGTCTTTAACTTTCAGAGTAGTTTTTTTTTTTTTTTTTTTTGACCGGTAAGGGGATTGCAACCCTCAGCACGGTGTTGTCTGCACCATGCTTGGCCAGTGAGTGCACCAGCCATCCCTATACAGGATCCAAACCCGCAGCCTGGCGCTACCAGCGCCGCACTCTCCTGAGTGAGCCACGGGGCCGGCCCAGAGTAGTCTTTTTTAACTGTGTGATAAGTTATTTAACCATTTTCCTTCTGGTAGACATTTTTTTTTTTTTGACTGGTAAGGGGATCGCGACCCTCAGCATGGTGTCATCTGCACCACGCTCAGCCAGTGAGCGCACCAGCCACCCCTATATAGGATCCAAACCCGCGGCCTCAGTGCTGGTAGCGCCACACTCTCCCGAGTGAGCTACGGACCGGCCCTAGACATTTAGATTGTTTCCAGGTTTGACAGGTTTGTTTCTCTTGGTTGATCTAGAAATGGAGGGTGTGTACATGTTTTACATATTGCCAAATTACACACCCCAGATGCCTTGGTGCAGTCTCATGCATCTCGCGGCAGCCACAACAAAGACTTGTCAGTCTTTTCCATTCTGGCAGAGAAAAGGGGTTTCTCAGGTTTGTTTTGTTTCTGTGTTTTGGGGAATTCCCGGATTCATGTTTGCTTGTGGGAGGAGGCAGGGGGTGGGTTTCAGTGGGGGCGGTGGGGGCTCCCCCTTGGGCCTGTGCCCCCTCCTTGGGGGCTGGGGGCATGCATGGTTGCCTGTTGTAGGAGATGAAGTTGAAAGGCTAGTTGGGGCCAGAGAGTGGGAAATGGGATGGGGACATCGGGTTTTATCCCCAGGCCCAGTGGAAAGCAGTGATGGCTTAACAAGGGGACCCAGCTCAGCTGGCGTCTGAGCTAAGGCGAGGGGGGGTGGAGGGCAGCCCCTTCCTGTGGCTGGTGCCTGGCCTGAAAGAGTTGGGTGGGTGATGGCGAGTGGGCTGGGCTCCCCTCAAGGTCTCTAGGCTCTGCCCTAGCCCTGCTGGAGACCTGTCCATCCTTGTCCTGGCCCTGGACGAAGGATCAGGCCACGGCGACGGATTGGGCTTTGGGTCTACAGTGGCTGGTGGTGAAAGGGCTGGGACTATCTGTGGCCTCCCCCCGTGCTGGCCCTGTGTGTTTTTCTGGGGTCCCCTCCCAGCCCTTTAATACGTGATGGAGCGTCCAGAACTAGCAAATTTGAGAGACCAGAAAAGGGGTATGGGCTGGGGTGTCCATGGGTTCTCGGTGGGGGTTGTACGTGCCCGGGACCTTCTCCATGCATGTTGCCTGAGTGTGGCCTGTGTCTCTCTAGAGGGTGGCCCTGTGCCCCTCAGAGGTAACCCAGGCATCAGACACACATGGGTGTGGCCAGCCCCACAGGGCAGCTTTGCAGTCTTTCCATCGAGGTAGCCTCATGGGAGCTAAGTGGACCCGAAGCTGCTCTAGCCAGCCCCTCCCTTGTTGCTCAGCAGGGTGTGGTCCAGGCTGTGGGCGCTGCTGAGAGCTCCCACCTTAGAACTGCAGAGCCGCCTGTTCTCCCCTGGAGAGAACTAACTGGGGCTACTGTTCAGATCCCGGGACTGACCAAGTTGGGTTGCAGCAGGGAGCAGCCTGGCTGGCGGGGGGTCCTGATTCCCTGCAAAGCATTGGGCCTGAGATGTGATTTTAAGGGGGGAGGGTTGAGGGGCCTGCTGGAGTCATAAAGAAGCTTGTACGCACATGCATGTCTCACAGGATGGTACTCGTTTTCAGGGAATTGTCCAAGGAACCAGTGACCCACAGAGGTTAAGAAGTGTCCTTCTGGTCCCAAAGCCTAACCGAGGGGATATAGTGGGGTCTTGGCAAGCCCTGGGGAGTGGGGGGTCAGCCCCTGCATCAGTTCTCCGTCCTTGTCCTTAATCTCAGATCATTGCAGGAGAGCCAGCTGATCAGAACTGAGGAGGAAGACACTCTGGGGGAGCAGTACTGGGGCTGGAGGTCCTCAGGTGGTCTGGAGAAGGGTCAGAGTTAGCATCTGCAGCACCCAGGACCGCTGTACTTCCCTCTCAGTGTGCAGGTGGCGGCTGCAATTTGGGACAGGGTTTGGGTGACCACACCCTGGGCTCCCTGGGCCACCACCCAGGCAGGACTGGTTTTGCTCACATGCTGTGGGCAGCGGGCCAGGTTTACTCTTGGTTCCTCCATGTGATGGCTGTGTGACCCTGGCATGTTATCCACGCCCTTGCCTTGGTTTCCTCTGCAGGCCCACATGCTAAGGCATGTAAACATGAGTCTTTCCTCTTGGGTGGCACCAGGGGCCTCTTCCCTCTGCTCAGCTGGAGTGGACCGACTGCCTGCTCCCCGCTGTGGGCCCTGGACCAGCCCCAGGAAGCGACGGGGGAGGCCCCCCTCGAGCAAGGCCAGGCCAGATACAGGCACAGACAGGAGTGAGAGCAGCGTTCTCAGGAAGCTGGGGGTGTCAGGGAACCAGGAATCTTGGGCTGCATCATCCTGTTTGGCATGACCTTTGTAGAGGGCATCATTTTCAGAAGTGACTCCTTCCTGGGCTTTCTGTTGCTCTTGAATGAGACCAGCTCTCTCCCCCTCCCCCGTGTCGGCATCTTGAGCACTTCTTCCAGGGAGCCCTCCCTGGCTGCCCAGGTGCTCCTCTTTAGCTTGCTTGCCCCACCCCCTGCACTCCAGGCCAGCACCTGGCAGATGCTCAGCAACGTGTGCACTGAGACCTGTACTGGGGCGGGACAGTAGGTGGGTGCCCTGGGCCTCAGGAACACCCTTCCGCAGTCAGCACCTGACTCACATATTCAGGCTCTGTGCTCATCCCTGGTGAGGGTTCAGGGCCTATGACCTGCTCCCATCCCAGCCTGCCTGATAGCCTGGCCTCTCTATGAGCTGGCCCAGTGTGGGGCAGAGTCCAACCCTCAGAAGAGGGTCATGGAAGATGTGCTCCAAGTGCAGACTCCCTGTTTCCCCTCTATCCTGCCCAGGGCACTGTGGCTGGCACCCCTCCCCCCAGCTGTTTCAGGGCTGTGAGGTACAGGGTGCTGGGTTCTAGGATCCTGGCATCCTGGGGTCTCTGGCTTTGTGGAGAGCCTGGTGAAGTGGGACTGTGGTGCTGCCTGCTAGGCCAGCCCAGCCCTGCTGTTCTCAGAGCAGATGCAGGCCAAGCGGGCAGGAGGGGTTTCCGTAGCTGGTCTCCACACTGTCCTGCTGGGGTCTCCAGTCCCATAGCCCACCCCTACCCCATCCTTGCCCAGGCAGGAGTTGCCCATCCAGGCTTCTGGAGACTGAGGAAGGTGCTGAAGAAAGGAAGCAGGGCAGGCACCTGCCCCGGGAGAGGTGTGGCTTCTCCTGAAACACCAGACCCCTCGGGGTCCTCTTTGGACTTCTTTCCCCATTTGCAGAATCTCTGGCCTGTCAAACCTTGAGAGGATTTGGCTGAGATGCTCTCTTCCCTGCCTTCTACCTAGACAACACCTCACCTCCCACCATGAGCCTCAACATCCAGTGTGAGCAGCTGAGTGATGCCAGGTGGACAGAGCTCCTGCCCCTGATCCAGCAGTACCAAGTGGTCAGGTGAGATGCCCCTGGCAGGCGGGCGCCTTGAGCTGGTGCACACATCTCCAGCCCCGTGGTCTCCAGCTCTTCTCTTTCTCTGGGAACACAGGGCAGGATGAGGCTCAGGGCTCCTCTGGGGAGGCTCTGCCCTTCCCTGCCCAGCTGCAGGCTGGGGAACGGAGTCAAGACTGGCCTCGGTTCTTAAGATTCTCACAAACCCAGTGGGGCCTCAGGCTTCACAAGCAAGAGAGATGCCTGCTTAGTCCTTGTTTTTTCTCTTTTCAACTTGTCATTTGACATAGTTTTAGACTTACAGGGGAGCTGTGAAGACAGCCCAGGGCTCCCGTGTGCCCTTCACAGCCTCCCATAAGGACACCGTCTCTCGTCACCTGGGCAGTTGTCAAAGTGGAGGCGCTGGCCCGGCACTTCCAGGGCTGACCGGATTCTGCTTTTCCCCAGCGTCCTTTTTCTGTTCCTGCTCCATCCAGGATCCCATGTGGCATTTCATCTTCCCGTCTATTCAGCCCCCTCCCATCTGTGACGTCCTCTGTCTCTTTTTGTCCTCGGTGATCTGAGTTCTGAGAGTCCGGCCAGGCTCCTGGAGAGTGTCCCTCAGTTGGGGTTTGTCTGGTGTTTTCTTATGGTTGAAGTCACATGTTTTGGCGGGAACACACAAGTGCTGTTGGGTGCTGCCTGGTGTGTGGGGCACTGACGGCCACCTGGTCGAGGTGGTGTCTGCTGGCTTCCCCGCTAGGAAGTTACTGTTTTTCCCTTTGTAATTGATCAGTATCTTGGGGACACACTTTGAGGTTCTGTTTATTTTACCTGTTTCCGCTCAGACTTGTGCCTGGCGGTCTCAGCATCCATCGGTGGCTCTTAACAGCTACTGCTGTGGTGGTCGCCTGACTGGGATTTTGTAATCTCTTCTTCCCTCCACGTTTATCCGTCGTCCTTTTGTGAGCCAGAGCTTGCTTTTCTCCCACTTGTGTCTACTGTGGTGGTCGCCTGACTGGGATTTTGTAATCTCTTCTTCCCTCCACGTTTATCCGTCGTCGTTCTTTTGTGAGCCAGAGCTTGCTTTTCTCCCACTTGTGTCTATTGTTACTCATTGAATCAGGATGGACTTGCGGCCGTTTGTTTTACTGAGTTACACTCTTGAAATGTTTATTTTGTGCTCATGCTGTTGCGGCTCTGACCGCAGGAGCCTCTTCAGATGGCCCGTGTCTGACATGCTGTGTCCTCTCCTGAGCACTTCCTTGTGGTTGTGACCTTGTATAGGTTTGAGTTTTTCCTAGGGATAGGCCAGACTCTTTCACGCTTTGAACCCCACGGTAAGACGTGGAGAGCACGTTATGCCCCAGACACACACAGTATATGTGCAAGAATCTTAAACAGGAGTTTCACAAGTCAGTTTCTACTCTTTTCTGTTTCATTTTTAACATGGTCCTGGTTGTGACCCACCTCAGTGATTTCTTGCCCCACTGCTGGGTCACAACCTGCTGTGTGAAGTGGTCATTGAGCCTGAGGGCAGTCCCGTCTGCAGGCTGGACGACTGTGGCCTCACGGAGGTGCGCTGCAAGGATATCAGCTCCGCGATCCGGGCCAACCCCACCCTCACTGAGCTCAGCCTGCGCACCAATGAGCTGGGCGACGCAGGCGTGCACCTGGTGCTGCAGGGCCTGCAGAGCCCCACCTGCAAGATCCAGAAGCTGAGGTGAGGCCAGGGGCCTGGTGTTGCCCCTACTCCCGTGTAGCAGGCTTGGGTCTGAACCTGTTGTGGACAGCCAGGCCATGGGGGGCATGGAGAGCCTGGCCCTGGGGTGAGGATCTGGCCCTGCCTGTCGTTCCTGGGCTCGCAGCATCAGCATACAGCCTCTGCTGAGGAGATGTCTGCAGATGTAGCTTCCCCAGATCCAGCTGTCTTCGAGCTTTCCCACAGCCTCTCCCACGCACCCCCACTGTCCCTGGTCCAGAGAAGGAGCAGGTGTAGCCTGCCTCCTGCAGGGCACTGCTGGGAGCTCCTGGCAGATGAAGGGAGCCCCACTGAGGGCTGCGTGTGCTCCAGCCTCCAGAACTGCTGCCTGACGGAGGCTGGCTGTGGGGTCCTGCCTGGTGTGTTGCGCTCTGTGCCCACCCTGCGTGAGCTGCACCTCAACGACAACCCCTTGGGGGATGCGGGCCTGCGGCTCCTCTGCGAGGGACTTCTAGACCCCCAGTGCCACCTGGAGAAGCTGCAGTGAGTGTGTGCCTTGCCCTGAGGGTCCCAGTGCCCAGTTAGGCAAAACCCCAGCCCTGGTGAGCCCCTGTCCCTTGGCACGCTCTCTCCACCAGTGTGTCAGCTGCAGGGAGCTTTGAGGGGACTCTGGAGGTCCAGGGGCCTTGTGGAGCTCCTCCTCTGTGATGCTGGGGCTGGGGGGTTCACCATCTCCGTGCCTGCCCCCCCAGTTGCCCTTTGCAAGGAGCTGGCAGCTGGCCTGGGACCCAACAGTGGGAACAGACACCCGGCTATGTCAAGCATGACTCAGCACCGTAGTGTGGGGCGGCCTGGCTGCCTCCAGGGCACTGTAGCCAAGCATGTGTGGGTGTCCCTGCCCTCAGGAGGCCTCTTTCTCTTGGGTCTGGTAGAATCCCAGGGTTTGAACTCCTGTTATAAGATATGGTTTCCAGACCCTGACCTGTAGCTCTGAAGACGGGTCTCTGGGGCTTCAGCGCTTGATGCCGACGGGGGAGAAGGCTGGGGAAGGGGGATGAGACCCCAAACGCCCCCCAGCGCCAGTCCACACCACTCTTGCCTGCCCGCCTCCAGGTTGGAGTACTGCAACCTCACGGCTGCCAGCTGCGAGCCCCTGGCCGCGGTGCTTAGGGCCAAACCAGACTTCAAGGAGCTGGTGGTGAGCAACAACCCCTTGGGTGAGGCCGGCGTGCGCGTGCTGTGCCAGGGCCTCGCGGACTCTGCCTGCCTGCTGGAGACGCTCAGGTACGCGCGCTGGGACAGGTGTGCGCGCTGCGGATGCGGATGGGGGGGCTCCTGCGCTCTATCAAGCGGTCCTGTGTCCCCAGGCTGGAGAGCTGTGGTGTCACCGCGGCCAACTGCAGGGACCTGTGCGGTGTCGTGGCCTCCAAGGCCTCGCTGAGGCAGCTGGAGCTGGGCGACAACAAGCTGGGTGACGCGGGCGTGGCAGAGCTGTGCCCGGCGCTGCTGCACCCCAGCTGCAGACTCAGGACCCTATGGTGCGTCCTCTGGGCCCCTGAGGGCGGGAGGGTGGTGTGGGCGCGCCCCGGGCCATGGCGGGGGAGACATGGGACAGTGTTGCTGTCCTTCAGGCTCTGGGAGTGCGACGTCACCGTCAAGGGCTGCAGGGACCTGTGCCGGGTGCTGAGCACCAAGGAGAGCCTGAAGGAGCTCAGCCTGGCGGGCAACGAGCTGGGCGACGAGGGCGCCCGGCTGCTGTGCGAGAGGCTGGGCAGTGGAGCCGGGGATTGGTTGCTGCCCTGGCTGTCCACCTTAGACCTAACCTAGCGACCACCGCCTCCAGCCCAGCAGCCATGACCCGGCGGTGCCCAGCGACCCTACTGCATGCCTGCCAGGCCCAGCGGCTCGGCTGCTGATTGGGCGCCGCCTCCTCTCGCCCTGCCTCTCCATCCCCCGCCCAGGGCGCCGCTGCACGTTTCCATAGGTCCAGGGCCCTGCCGATCAGGCCGCTTCTCACCTTCCCTAAACAGTCCGTCGGACCCGCGCGTGCGAGGGGGGGAGGCGGGGCCTCTGGCGGGGGCGGGGCCTCAGCCGTGCACGCCCCGCCGGCCTCAGCCTTCTCTGCGTGCACAGGGTGAAGACCTGCAGCCTGACGGCCGCCTGCTGTCCCCACTTCAGCGCGGTGCTGGCGCAGAGCAGGTGTCTGCTGGAGCTGCAGCTGAGCAGCAACAAGCTGGGCGATGCGGGCGTGCGCGAGCTCTGCCAGGGCCTGGGCCAGCCCGGCTGCGTGCTGCGCGTTCTCTGGTGAGTGCCTGCGCAAGCTCGGCCGGCCCGGCTGCCGCCTCCGATCCTCCGAGCGCCTCGGTGTCTTTCCTTGGGTGTCCTGGACTGAGCCTCTAGTTCTTTCTTTGTGTTTTCTTTCCCCAACTTTTTGTTCATGTTTCTGGGCACCGACTCATTTCCACTCTCAGCTGTCTTCTGTCTTGTTACTGTCCCGTGCTTCTCGCTGGCGGCTTTCTTTGGATGTCTGGGGTGGGACCAGGAGGCCCTGGACAGCTGGCCCTGTGGCTGGCACTGCCCCCTGCCTGTGGACAGTCGTGGTCTTGTGGGCCTTCACCTGCTCAGCTGCCACCTAGGGTGGGGGTCCCACAACTTCCTCAGCCCTCAGCTCAGAGGCCGGTTGTCTGGTCTGCGTCTTGGCTGGTCTCCCCTCATGGGAACAGGTGCTGGGTCTGCCCTGTCCATCCTCTTTCTTTGGCTGTACCCCATGATCTTTCTCAGAGCCGAGAAACGCTCTTCCATTCCATGCTTTTCCTCTCCCCTCCACGTCGGTCCTGAGCTGCTCCTTGGACTGTGCAGCCATCTCCTCTGTAGCCCCCTGGCTAGGCTTCAGGTGCTGAGGGGTAAGGGGCAGGTGTGGCGTCTCTCCTCTGTAGCCCCCTGGCTAGGCTTCAGGTGGGCAGCACTTTGAGCCTACGTCTTCCTGCCACTATCCTTCCCCCACTGCCATCCTTGCAGGGGCTTTCTGGTGCCTCTGCCTAGAGGAGGTTAGGGACCGGGGTCCAGCATGTGCAAGCCTCAGGCCAGTCTGTCGCTGCCTAGCTGAGGGAAACCGTGCACCTCCCCTGCCTTTGGGAGGGATATTGGCCCGAGGTCAGCAGCATTCAGGGCCACAGAGGGACCCAGGCTGGGACTTGGGGAACCGTCCCCATCCCAGGATCCCAACTTGCTGAGTACAGTGTATTTCAGAGTCCACAGGCATTGCGGGTGTGGACCTCCATCACCACCCCACGGTCTGGTGGCAGCACAGTCCCGGGTCACACCCTTTGCCCTGACTCCGCCCTGCCCCCCTCAGGCTGGGGGACTGTGATGTGACCGATGGAGGCTGCAGCAGTCTTGCCTCAGTCCTGCTGGCCAGCCGTAGCCTGCGCGAGCTGGACCTCAGCAACAACTGCATGGGGGACCCAGGCGTCCTGCGGCTGGTGGAGAGTGTCAGGCAACCCACCTGTGTCCTGGAACAGCTGGTGTAAGTGGACGTGGTGGGCAGTGGCCACGGGTGGTGTGGCCAGGGCTGCCTGGGGCTCAGGGTGGTCAGGGGAGTGGCGTGGAGCTACAGCCACTTCTCTCTGCCCTGTGTGCAGCCTGTACGACATTTACTGGACTGAGGAGATGGAGGACCGACTGCGGGCCCTGGAGAAGGACAAGCCATCCCTGAGGGTCATCTCCTGAGGCACCTCCCTGCCCACCAGCCTCCGGACACCTGCTCTCCCTGGACAGCTCCAACCTTAATCCACCCCCATAGGGGCTGGCCAGCTCCCTGGGGTCTCTTTCGGTGTCCTAGCTTTGACTGAAGAGAAATGCTGAGATCGACTTATTTCTGTGAGAAAATTTTAGACACTTTATAATCATTAAAGCACTTTTTTGGCAGGAGGGGTCCCTGTCCTTCCTTGTGGGGTCACTGCAAGGTTCTCTGATGTCAGAGCATTCTTTGCTGCCAAACAAACTACCACCAGTCCACGTTCGCATCCCAGCCCCGGGGCCCTGGCATGCTCAGCAGGCCTCTCTGTTCCAGCCACCCACCCCGCAGGCACTCGTGTTCTGTGGGCCAGCAGGAGACTCTGCTCCGCGGGTCTCAGGGTGACCTAGCCCAGCACCTTCCCTGTCACTAGAAGCGAAGCCACATTCCACTCTGCTGAGGAGGCCTGGATCTAGCAGTGGGGCTCTGGGGACTCCGCAGCTCTGTCCACGGGTAGCTGCCCTTGGGTCTGGCTGCTCCACAGCTCTGGGCCTTGGCGCCGCTGGTGTCGGGGGCACTTCCTGCAGAGCCCAGAGCCCATGCTGTCTGCAGCCCTCCAGTCAGGCTGGCCTTGTCTTGCTCACGGGTGGGCAGCTGCCAAGATAGGCTGGCCCAGGGTGACCTGTCCTGGTCTGTGGGACTCTCACCTCGGTGGCAGCTTCAGGAACCCTACTGTAAAACCCGTTAAAGTGCCCAGGATCTTGGATTCTAAGTATGGTCCCCCTCAGAGGAACTAGGGCTCCCCAGAGGAGTGAGTTAAATGTATGAGGTGGGCCTGGGGCACCTTAGGGGCCATCTGCAGTGACCAGGTGAGCACAGGAAGTAGAGCATCTCCCACAAGACACTGGCCAGAAGAACAGACAGGCAGGACACCCCCTTAGCTCAGAGCACTGAGGATGCCAGCAGTGGAGGGGTCACCTGGAGTGCCCCACACTGGCAGAGGGGCCTGAAGTAGGCATCCCTGTGATGGGAAGACAGGCAGCAGTTCTTTCCAGAAGTCAGGGCTACCACGTGTGATAAAAACGTGGGGGAGATGGGGGGCATATGGCACCTCAGCAGAAACAACGGGGAGGGCAGTCCATGGCCACGAGCCTGCGCAGGGCCATAGAACCAGGGGGCTGACAATCGAGAGAGGAGAGGACCTGAGAGGACGGCCACGGGGCACAGGACTCGCTGGCACACCCTGGCTGGGGCTCTGTGCCACCTCCCAGCCTCAAAACACAGAGGGCTGAAATTCTCCCAGAGTAAAGAAAAAAACTAAAGAAACAAGAGCACTTAGAGGCCGGCCCCAGGCAGAGCAGTGTGGCTGGCCCTGGGGAGTCAGCTCCCTTCCTGAAACCACCCACCCCATGGGCTGTGTCCACCTGGCCACACACCACTCCTCCCTACCCCCAGCCTCCATGCCCATGACTAAGAACGGAGGGATAGGGACCCAGGAAGCCACGGCATTTTTCTCTCCTCATTTGTGTTTGAAAATTTTCATTCTAAAGTTCTTAAATTAACCAGCCTGAGAAAACAGCTGCCCCTTCCCTTCCACCTCTGTGGCCACTCCCCGGCAGTCGCCAGCCTGCCCCAAAAGACGGGCGGATGCAGCAGGTGGTGAGTGCCCAGACGGATCGTGCACACGGGGTGTGTGTCCCGGCTGAGCAGCTCTGCCCACTGGACTCCCCTTCAGCTGAGACTTGTCTCCCATCCTCAGAGTGGTTTTCCCAGGGAGCAGCAGGTTGGGGCTGGGCCTGGGCTTGAAGTGGCCCATGGGGCGGGGGAGGACAGAAGCTGCAGACCTTCTTGTCACTTTATTGTTTGCTCATGAGATGACCTAAGCTCAGGGAACCACAGAGACAATCCGACCCCAGCACCGAGTGATAGGTCCCTAGCCCTCAGAATTCTTGACTCAGTGCCCCCTGAGCTGGTCCGGTGACCTCCGGCCCCACCTACGTGCCCTCCAGGTTAGAGTCTTTGTTAATGGAGGCTCCCAAGGAAACGGCTCATGTTGCTGCCCTCCACCACTTCTCATCCATCCCGGGGCATCTGTGGACTACCGTCCTTCACATGTGCCACCAGGAGTGAGTGCGGGGCTGGTGGGGCCAGCGTGGACACTGGGCAGAGGGGCTGGGGACACAGGGAATGGAGATGGCACCTAGCCTGGCTGCACCATGACTGGGTGACGAGGGCACTCAGTGGGCCAGAGCCCACTGGGTTGACCAGGCAGGAGGGACAGGCAAGACTCGCTCCAGGGGGTCTAGCTGCCGCCTAGCAAGCCCAGGCCACGCAGCAGCTCACAGAAGCCGAGAGTGCACGCACACGTGTGCACACCACTCATGCATGTGCACACGCTCGTGTACACACACACGCACACCGGGCACGCACGTGGAGCTGGAGCCGAGTGGGGCCTCCTTACCCACCTCGAGCTCAGTGAGCGCCCAGGATGAAAAGAAAACACCCCCTTGCAGGCGAGCCCGTGGTTGGCTTCCTGGCGGGATGACGTAGGGGCGGGGCAACGAGGCCTTGGTCTGGCTGCTCAAGGGGCAGCAGAGGCACAAGTCAGTTTGGAGCCTGGCACCCCTTCCCTCTCAGTGGCCCTGGGCTCAGGCTCATCGTCTGGTCCCAGCGGGTGCCCATCCCCATTGCCGAGGTCACCCCGGTTCTGCTGCTTCTGCCGCCGCGTCTCCTTGTACCTCAAGGTGATGTCCCTGGGGGGAAGCAGGGCCTCGTCACCACCTGCTGCTGCATCAGCCCCAGCGCAGACCCCTTGGGACATGGCTCTAGGCACAGGCCAGGCCAGGCCATCTCAACCGTCAGGGCCCAGATCCATCAGTGCAGAGCAAAGGCATGGGGGACCCGCAGTGGTCAGAAGGGCCACGGTGGACTGCCCCAGCAGGAAGCTCACACAGAGATGGCCAGAGGGATGGCGCAAGGACAGGTCAGACATCACTGCCCCTTACAGCAGCTGGCAGCCAGCAAAGCAGGAGGGGGAAGACAGCGGCTCCCTGCTGCAGAAACACAACCTGTGCTCACCGCAGGAAGAAGCGCCAGATGGTCCAGGTAAGCACCAGGACGGAGCCGAGCGTCCAGCACTGGGAGATGTAGAAGGGCAGGGACAGGGTGAGCGTGTGGGGGTCGTACTTGACCACGATGAGCAGCTCTGTGACCGTGATGGCCGCCACCAGCCAGGCCTGTGGGCCCAGCTTCCTGTGGGGCTTCCTGCAGAGGGAGGCAGAGCTGGCCCTGTGCGCCCTAGCCCCCCACGAGGTCTTCAGGCTCACACAGGCTCTGGCCTCCCACCCTCTGTGGCCCCCTTCCCAGCCTCTGGTCCCCAGCCTGGCAGCGGCCCTCACGGGTCGTCCATGAAGTCGTAGATCTCACGCATGGCCACGCCACCCACGTTCACGAAGAAAACCAGTCGCAGCAGAACCAGGTAGTGCTCGGGGGGCATCCACAGCACAAACTTCAAGTAGAAGGTGTTCAGCTCCGCCAACAAAAACTAGGGAGCAGAAGAGGGTGAGCACGAGCTCCGGCTGCCCGTGGCTGTGGCTCCGCGAGCGGCCACCTTACCATCAGGATGATGCCACACACGGCTAGCCAGCGGCGCAGGCTGGAGGCTGGCTTCCACTCGAAGCGGACCCAACTGTAGGGCGTGAACTGGAAGGCGATCCTCTTCATCTTGCCCCTGGGAACCACAGTGCCCTCAGCCTGAGGACCACAGCCCACCCGGGGCCCACCCTGCACTGCTGCGCCAGCTCTGCTCTTGCTTATGAGGCCACTGCCAGGCCATTCTTGGCCACACATTGAGGCCTCCCTGGGGACAGACACGGAGCCGCTGGACTGGCCTGCCAGGCACAAGCCTCTCCTCCCCAGGCCCCTCCTCTGGCCTGACCAGCGACTCCAGCCCCTCAGTGAGGGCCCTCCACAGGCCGCGAGCTGCTCACATGCTCCGAGGCACCTGGACAGGAAGGGAGACCCCACTCCCAGAGCCCCCCAGGGCTTTTTTTACATTCTTGTTCCTTGAATCCCAAAGTAAAAATGACAGGGCACCTGCAACTACTTCAAAACAAAGGCAGTCAGGGGAGGGGAGAGGCAGAAGGATAATCCCAGAACCCCCAAGAAGGGCCAGTGAGGGGTGAGGAGCCAGGCAAAGCCCAGGCCCGACGTTCTGGGCACCACAAGGACGGCCCAGCATGGTGGCAATGGTCAGATCTAGGCTGGAGGCTGCTCCTCCTGAGGAGCACGTGAGACAGGCTCGGCCCTTGGGGTCCACCAAGGCACGCGGCTGAGCCGCCTCCAACCACCACACGGGTCCCCTGTACCCCCTGCGGCTCCCAGGACATACTTGTAGGTCGGGATGTTCCAGAGGCCCTGCCACTTGTAGGTCTTCAGGGACAGCCACTCAAGGGTCTTCATGCCACAGTAAATGCCCAGCCCGTTGCAGACCAGCACATCCATGATCCACTGGGGGCAGAACCAGGCGGGAGGCAGACGCTGCGGCCCTCCCAGCACTGCACCAGAAGTGTCCGAAGGTGGGGGAGCCACAGGGACCCGCTGAGCAGGCTCAGAGCCACTCCAGCGTCCCTCCCCCCAAGGGTGGAGGCTGCGGACACCTACGTGGTCCCACCAGCACTCGCTGAAGTTGGGCAGCTGGTGTTCGAGGCTGTACTCCAGGAACTCAAACATCACGCTCACGATCATGCACATCCACCAGTCGCGGATCATCAGGGTCTGCGGCCCGGCCCACCTCATCAGCCGAGTGTGCACGGCGTGCCTCCTTGCACACACGGCCCTAGGACCCCCAGGGCAATGCAACCCGTGCCTGCTGCGGCATCCCCACCCCAGGCCCCTGCACTGCTCTCAGCCTGGCGGGCGGCTCAGGTCCCCCTGAGCAGGACAGGAGTGGCGCCGGAGCAAGGCTGTGGGCAGGACCTGTCTCCACTCTCCTGACCAGCCACCACATGCTGAGGACAGAGCAAGGGTCTGCGGTCAGGATCCCACTCAGGTCCTGCCCAGCCACCACACTCAGCATTGAGGGCCAACCCTGTGGCCAGAATTGCCCAGAGAACCAGGATGTTGGGTCAGACAAGGGGGCCATACCTTCAGGTACCAGCCAATGAAGTGTGCGGGAACAAAGCCGTCCAGCTTGTCCTGTGGGGGACGGGGGATAACCTTAGGCATGGATCCCACAGCCCCGGTTCCTGCCCTTGCTGAACCTGCCAAACCTGGGGCCACTACCAAGCCTTACACACGTGCTACTGTGGGCGTCCCTCCAGTGAGCCCCCATCCAAACTGAACAAGGGTCGAGAGCAAGTCTCTGGCCAGGAGGAGACCCTGAGGGGAACCCAGGGCAAGGGAGGAGGACAGACGTACCCGAGCCCATGCAGTCACCATGGGGAGCACCAGGGAGGCTGTGAGACCCTTGATGCCTGGTCAGGGACGCTGCCCAGAGCTCCCAGCTCCTTACCCAAACATTGTGGAAAGGGTCGGTCTTGTTGTCTGCGTCGTATATGAGGCAGTTTCCCCCGTAGTCTCTCTCCGGCAATGGGACTCCCAGCCTGGGGTCGATGTACTTCAGAAACTGCCGGCCGTCCTGGACAGTCTGCAAGGCCAGTGCCCTTGTTAGTGGGGCCAGACCCTGGCAGTGGTAACCTGAGACGGGACTGGTGGCAGGTGAATTACGTCTCCATCAGCCTGTCCCAGCAGCCCATCCTGTGGTGGCTGGAGATGTGGGGGCTAAGTCCTGGTGGGGTGGCGGAGTGTAGAGGGGGACCCTATGCTCCACACTCAGGGCAGGCAGGCCCTGCACTCACAGGAGGCCTCCCCGTGAGGACACATCTGTCCTCACACACAGATGCTGACACAGGCCAGATGCTGTTCTTGGCCTTGGTACACAGGAAGGTCCCTCAAGCAGGCCTCACTTGCCCCCACTTCGAGCCCCTCTGGCCACATCAAGGGAGAGAGAGGAGGAGGCTCGAAGGTCTGGAGACCAAACGACAAAGCAGAGGTCCAGGAAGGGGACAGCGGAAGGGAGCATATGCAGATGTGCAGGCAGGAGGACGCCGGCCACGCCACAGGTGGAGGTGACGTGGGAGGCTGGCTCCCAGCTTGGTTTGGGCTGGGTGGACACGGCACAGTCTGAGGCGTCTGTGGGCAAGCGACACCCAGAGCCACAGCGTCTTGTGAGCGAGGCCCACAGCACTGGACAGAATCTCTGCCTCATCCTGCTGTGAGACCCCACCCCCTCAAAGTCAGGAAAACCTGTCCCCAATGCTGCTTCCACTGGGGCGTAACTCTGCAGACAGCGAGGATGAGAGTGACCGTGTGCCTTGGAAATGAACAGGGTCTGAGGGTCAGCCACGTGGAGGCAGGAGACCTCTCCCGAGACCAGCCCCACATCAAGTCCAGGCCCTGAGGCCACAGGCACAGAACAAGGCAGACGAGCTTGGCCAGTCCAGCAGCAGAATTTGTGTTCGAGGGGCAGTTGCCCCCAGTCCCTGGACCCCTGCTCGGACAGGCCAAGAGGTCAAGATATGAACACTCCACACCTGGTAAAGGCCCACAAGACCCCTGACCCTATGGCCCTCCCCTGCTGATAAAGTTCCTTGGAGAGGGCAGGTGCTGCAGTGTGCATGTGGGAATGATTAGGGCTGTGACTAGGCTGTGACTGTCAACACATGAACACACTCAGCTCTGTCACCCGAGAGTCCCGAGAAGCCACAACTCACCAGCAGCCAGGAGCACACCCAGAGCTCAGATCTTGGCTTCTCATATTCTCCAGTAAAGGACCCAGGCTCCCTGGAGAAGCGGCTGATCCAGGGAACATACAGGATGAACTGGGGGGGGCCCTCTCGTGCCAGGATGTCAGGAAGTGCCCAGAAAAACAGACAGCCAAGAACTCATAAAGATGGGGTTTTGTCAAAGTGACATGGGAATCAAATACGAGCTCCCAGTGGCCAAGTGAGTGTGAGCCACAAAGTAAAGTAGCCCTGGGCACAACCTGGGTGTTGTGAATGTCCATGGTTCACACTGACGGAAGCCAGTGACTGAGTAATGGTGGGGAAGGGACAAACCTCCCCACAGGAATTCCCAGTGCTCTGCGGACAGCCCGCCCTTACGGAGGAGCAGCCTGAGCCCACCCCTTACTGCGGGCTGTGCAGTCAGTTCCCTCCGAGAGCACAGTGTGGACAGAGATGGTCACTTCACAGTGGAGAGGTCTGCTGGACATGACCTCGGCAGGTCAAGGTCGGCATCACCAGTGATGAGTTATGCAGATGGTGTGAACCTCCCTCCACCCACTCAAATCACGAGGAAAACACCACACAAATCCTAATTAACCCTGGCGCCAAAACCACAAAAACACATTTCAAGAAAATTACAGACCAGTAGCTCTTACGAATATGGATGCAAAAATCCTAGACAAAATACTAGGAAACCAAATCCAGCAGTATATAAAAAGGGTTATACTCCATGACCAAGAGTGATTTATCCCAGGAAGCAAGGGTGGTTCAAAATAAGCAAATCAACCAACGTGATACATCATATGAATAAAGGAAAAAACCCATGTGATCATCTCATTTGATGCAGAAAGAGCATCTGACAAAACCCAACAACCATTCATGAAAAAACACTCAACAAACTAGAAACACAATACGTAAAGCTTCCTTTACCTGGTAAGCTGACAAGTGACATCTGTGAACAGCCCACAGCTAATGTCACACTTAGTGGGGAAGACTGAAAGCCAATCTTAGGGAGTAAGACAAGCACGTCTGCCCCTGCCAGCTGCAGCCAGCACCATACTGGGGTTCCAGCCAGGGCAGTTAGGCAAGAAAAGGAGATAAAAGGCATCCAGATTAGAAAGGAAGAAGGAAAACTATCTCTGTTTGTAGATAAATGACCTGGGATATAGAAAATCCTAAGGAATCCACTAAAAAACTAAATACACACACACAACTATTAGAACTAACAAGCAAGTTGGGCAAAGCTGCAGGACACAAGACCAATATACAAGAATAGGTTGTATTTCTATACACTAGCAATGAGCAATCCAAAGGAAAATTAGAAAACATTGTTGAAAGAAACTAAAGAAGACCTAAATAAATGGAAAGACATCCTATGTTCAAGGACTGAAAGACTTAACATCAGAGATTCAATGTAATCCCTATCAAAACTTCACCTGCTCTTTCTACAGAAAAGGAGAAAGCAATCCTCACATTCATTTGGAAATAAAGAGACCCAGATGACTCAAAACAATCTTGAAAAAAAAGAACAAGGTGGGAGGACTCACACTTCCTAGTTTCAAATGCCACTTGAGGGACACTCTACAAAATGCCTGACCAATCCTCAGAACTCCAGGTCATCGAAAACAAGGAGAGTCTGGGCCGGCCCGCGGCTCACTCGGGAGAGTGTGGTGCTGATAACACCAAGGCCAAGGGTTCGGATCCCATATAGGGATGGCCGGTTGGCTCACTGGCTGAGTGTGGTGCTGACAACACCAAGTCAAGGGTTAAGATCCCCTTACCGGTCATCTTTTAGGAAAAAAAAAAAAAAAAAAAAACAAGGAGAGTCTGAGAAACTCTCACAGCCAAGAGGAGCCCAAGGAGACAAGACAACTCAATGTAATGGGGACCCTGGGGCAGAAAAGCCACGTTCAGTAAAACTGAGGAAATGTGACTGAATCATGGACTTCGGCTAACGATGTATCACACTGCTAATCGCAGTAAATGAGCCAAACTAATGAAAGGCGGCATAACAGAAACTGTGCAGGGCACGTGGGAACTCTGTACTATCTTTACAGTTTTGTAAATCTGTGCAAAATATTGACAATTAAAAAGAAATTGATCCAAGAAAAGCTGGTCTCCAAACGAGATACACAAATGTCCAGTAGGTTCATGAGAAGATGCTCAACACCGAAGCCAATACGGAAATGACCTCAAAACTAAAATGAAATACCACTCACACCCACCAGGATGGCTATCACTCAAAACGGAAACACAACAACACAAACAAATGTAAAAGAAGCAGGGCTGGCGAGGATGTGCACTGCCGGTGGGAAGGAAGAGCCGCGCAGCCGCTGTGGAGAGCAGGGTCTGGAAGAGAGATCTGCCCACCAGGCTCTCACAGCAGCATTCACAACAGCCAAGGGACAGAAACACCCTACGTGTGCATCAGTGGATGAAGGGGTAAGAAGCCGTCCATCCACATGGTGAAATGTCACTCAGCCTTAAAAAGGAAATTCTGACACATGCTACAGCATCCAGGAACCTTGAGGACTTATGCTGAGTGAAATAAGCCAGTCACAAAAGGACAACTACTGTGTGACCCCACTTTACGTGTTCCCTAGACTAGTCATATTCACAGAGACAGAAAGTAGAATGGGGGCTGCCAGGGGCTGGGGAGGGGCGCGGGGAGTTGGTGTTTAATGGGGGCAGAGGTTCAGTTTTACAAGATGAAAAGTTACGGAGACGGACGGTGGTGATGGCTGCACAACAACAGGAATATTCCTAACACTACTGCAGTGTACACTTAAAAGTAGTTAAGACGGTAAATTTTATCTTTTTACCACAATAAAACATTTTCTAATGCATTACAAAAAGACAAAAAGATTGCACAGAATTCTACATAAGCACACATGTTCCTGTGACACTGGTGGCGTCAGAACAGCTTCGCGGGCTGCACCACCGTCCAATCCCTGGCTTTGATGTTGCTCTGTGGCTGTGCAAAACAGCACCACTGGGGACTGGGTGGGGAGCGTGCGGGACCTCCTGTGCAGCTTTTTTTTACAACTTCTAGTAAATCTACAATTATTTCAAAACAAAATTTTAAAAAACCCTCAAAATGACCTAACTGTAAGATATAAAACTATGAAACTTTTAGAAGAAAACATAGGAGAAAATATTAATAACCTAGGGTAAGACAAAGAAACCTTAGACATGACATCCCAAGCACAGTCCACAAAGGAAACAGTGTGTATACGTCAGTAACAAGGACGAGGATGCAGGGAGAACACTTGGAAGTCACACATCTGATAAGCCCAAGTACAAGGACTGGGTAAAAAACCTTCATAATGCAACACCACAAAAGCAAACAACCCAGTTTTCTTTTTTTTTTTGTTTAAAAGATGACCGGTAAGGGGATCTTAACCCTTGACTTGGTGTTGTCAGCACCACGCACACCCAGTGAGCCAACCGGCCATCCCTATATAGGGATCTGAACCCGTGGCCTTGGTGTCATCAGCCCCACACTCTCCCGAGTGAGCCACAGGCCAGCCCCAAACAACCCAGTTTTCTGACAGGGCAAAAATTTGAATACTTCACCACAGAGGACATCCCCATGGCAGGTAGATGCCTGAGAGGCTGGTCAGCACCACCAGCTGCTAGAGAAAGGAAAGGAAAGCCACATGGGTTCTCGCCACAAGCCTGTCAGAACGACTGACAGGAAAACAACAGTCCCTGTGCTGGCAGGGTGTGGGCACCTGCAGTGCTCCAGTCGCTGGTGGGCAGCAGGACGGCTCTTAGAAAGTCAAGCACACACCTGCCATGTGGCCCAGCGACCCCACTGCTGGGTGCTGCCCCCGGTGAAACAGACACTGCATTCACACAAAAGCCTGCACAGGAGTGCTGAGCACAGCGCCACCCGCAACAGCCCCGCACTGGAGACGACCAGACGTCTCCAACATGGCGAGCGGACAGCCGAGGCCCACCACGTAGTGCAGCCTCACCCAGCAGCATGAGGGGCAGGTAGAGGGACGCGCACACGCAGACAGGCCTCAGGAGTCTCAAAAGGTCACCTGCTGTGCAGCCCCACTCACACAACATGACAAGGCTCATTCACTGGTCACCAGGGTTGGGGCTGATGGACTGTCCTGTGTGGTCATTGTGCTGGTGTTTCCACAAATCCGTATGTGTGTTAAAATTCATAGAACTATACACCTACCCTCAATTCACTTTACCAAAATGATAAATAACCTGGCTACACACTGACAGAGTTCTGAGACTGTGATAGCAAAGTCCTGTGTAAACTGAAGGTTGCCACCAAAGTGTAGGCTCATTAAATTAAGCAGAATAAAGAGTATTAATGAAATAGACACTGGCAGCAACACACCCTACCCCAGGATTTACTGAGGAGGTGAGGTCCCGCTCCGCCTGCACAGCTGGTGGAGCAAGTACAGCAGGGAGAAAGCACACGAACCCACCAGGGCCACCGCAGACACAGAGGTGCCCAGGACTGTGGGCCCTGAGATCCTCTAGAGGCCTTGCCCGAGTCTCAGGATCAGACCTGCTGTCTTCCCTCATCTGGCACCTGCTCAGATCTGGATGTGAAGGCTGAGGTGTCTGTCCCCACTGGCGCCCCACATGTGGAACGGACTGCTGAACGCCAATGGCCACTTGGGCTGGGGTCTGGCCAGAGTGTGCACAACCACCTCCACCCCCCATCTGTCACTGACCCTGCCTGGGGCCACTTGTCCCCTAAGTTCCCAGAGTTTATCCAACCAAAAAAGACTGCTTACCTGGAAGAGTATGAAGATGAGAAATAGCTCATAGACCACACTGACGCAGAGCCAAAACCTCCAGTAAGCTGCAAAGACAAAGACAGCACAGAGACGTCAGAGCGCCCCAGACCCTGGGTCCTCTGAAATCCCACCCCTCCCCGCACTGGCTCCTGGCAGAAAGCCTCCAGGGGCCCCCGCGTGGCTCCTGGACACACACAGGGTCTGTTTCAGGCCCCTCACACATTCCTGGTAGAGTCTTTATAAAGAAAGTCTAACGCAGAATTAAGCCATTTCAGTTTCTCTTTGAAGTGCGAAATGTTTTTTCCTTCGTTTCTTCCACTCTAGTTCTTAAGTCTTTTCTTTCTTTTCTTTTCTTACTGCAGTGGTATAGGAAACCCATAAACAGTGGGACAGGAACAGCGAGAGTCTTCTGTGCACTGGCAATGCTTCCAGCTTTCATCATTAAGCATTTGGTGGATACCTTTTATCATGTGAAAAAAATCTTTCATTTCATTAGGAAGTCCAACAAATTAAAAAAAAATTTTTTTTCTATGCCAGCATACCAAGTTTTTGTCACGGATGCGTATGAACTTTTACTTTTCTGCATTGAAGAGGATCCGTTTTTTCCCCTTTAATACACACTAATGTGATGAATGACATCAACAGACTTCTAATGTTAAGCCATCTCTAAATTCCTGGCTTCCCCACGCACTGAGGGGCTCGCTACGAAGCACGCTCACTTGTGGTTTTGGAGCCAAACCCCGCACTGCAGGAGGAAGCCAGACTGCAGAGGCGGGAAATACAAATGTAGAAAGTTCTCAGGAAAATCTGCTGACACTGTTCTGGGACGCAGGGTAGACAACAGAGGTCACAAACTCACAAGCATGTTCTTCACACCTGGAGGACGGGAAGGATCTTTCTGGAACTCTGGCTCAAGAGCAGCGAGAGGCTTGTGTGAAATTAGCTCAGGGGCAGCCTCACCCAAGGGCCCCACGTCCAGGGCAGGGGCCTGTGCAGGCGCGCCAGAGGAGTCTGCCCTCTTGGACATCACGTCTGAAACTTCTCTTCCCCCATCGCTGCTTCAGGTCCTGCTTCTATTCCCCATTCCAGGGAGGGCCCCGATTCAGAAAGGTGGTCATCTCAGACCCGCCACCCTGCCCTTTGGATCCCACCAGCACGCCCCCCATACAGCAGGCCTCACCCACTTTCCCCACTCTCTCCTTGACCAGCTCCAGTGACCCCAGAGGTTGGCTTCCCTGATCCGAGGACCCCTGCCCAAACATAGCACTCTCATTTGTCTTCTTGAGCATCAAATCTGAGAGGGAGAGACCCACAGCAGCCTCCACAGCACTGGCCACGCTCTGACCCACTCCAGCTGCTGGAGGGAGCCGCAGATGAAAACATGACCAAGGGGGCGGAGCCGCCTCCCCTAACGGGACACGACTTGACTCAAACACGTCTCAGTCGGAACTGCAGCCAAACAAAGCAGCTCCCCGTGGGCCACCTGAGGGAGCCGCAGATGAAAACATGACCAAGGGGGCGGGGCCGCCTCCCCTAACGGGACACGACTTGACTCAAACACGTCTCAGTCGGAACTGCAGCCAAACAAAGCAGCTCCCCGTGGGCCACCTGGAAGCTCACTTCTGCTCCTCTCACGGGGCCCCATTGCTAGTGGCGACAGCTGTGGCAGCCTGAGCCTGGGCATTCCTGGGCCAGAACCAGGGGAGCAGGAGGAAGGCAGGAGGGGCCCGCAGGGATCCCTTTCTGGAGTTGCTCCCTCAGAGAGCTGCGCTGCAGAGGGCTCTCCACGTGTGCACTTCAAGTGTATCCTGACTGCAGCGGCTTGAGGGTTCCCTGCCAGCCACCAGGTTAAAAAGACCTGGACAGAAGCTGGCTCTAGGACAAGCTCCTTTGTCAATAAATCAGAGACTGGCAAAGAAACAGAGTTTATGCAAAGACAACAAAACTGAAAGAAAAAGGGTAGAGGTGAGCTCAAAATTAAAACTTAGAAACCACGTGCATGCCTCCGTCAAGAGGGAGAAGACAAACCCGCCCAGGGGGAGCTGGGGTGATGCTCACACACTGCAAAGAAACCACAGCAAGAGCTTCCAGAAGCTTCAAAATCCTTCAGACCAAGACAACCTGCACCCCACCAGGTGACGTGAAGATCCAACTGCTGAACTGGACAGAGCTGAGGGCCTCCCAGGAGCCTCTCCCTGTGCCCAGGGACCAAATGCCAAGACAAGCTGCTGCCCATTGACCAGTCCGACCCAAGCCCTCTGTCCCACTGTCTGTCCCCGCGACCGGCGATGCCAGCACACAGGAGGGATTCGATGTGTTTCTCATGGAGGACAAGCACATGAACTTCCAGCAGCTCTTCCTCCTCCAGATCAACCCGACAAGCACTCGACGCCTCCTTGTTCTTCACGGAGCAATTTGGGAGTTTTTAAACCACCACTCACTCTTCCGTTGCTCTGGTTAGCAGCCCAAATCATCTGAGGCCTGGCGGGACGTGCCCTGGTGCCTGAGCCCATAGAGAAGGCCACTCAACGCTGCACAGCCCAGTGCGCACCCCAGGGGCCTTCTCAAAACCCAGCGTAAGTAGGGGCTCACCAGCCCCCTCAGGTCACTGAGGCTCCCTGCTCAGAGCCTCCCTCATAACCACAGCACTAACTGACCCTCAGGCACACATCTCCCCTAGAGGGTGGTTCTACAATATATATCACCCCCACACCCAGAGGAAAGGAAATCATCGTGCTGAAGGGACACCCGCACCCCATGTTTATTGAAGCTCTGTTTACAACAGCCAAGAGTTGGAACCAACCTAAATGTCCATTGACAGATGACTATGGATAAGGAAAATGTGGTATATGCACTCAATGAAATACCACTCTGCCTTAAAAAAGAATGAAATTCTGCCATTCACAGCAGCATGGATGAACTTAGAAAAAATCGTACTAAGTGAAACAAGCCAGGCACAGAGAGAGAATACCGCATGTCCTCACTGGTAAGTGGGAGCTTAAAAAAAAGAAACAGAAAGAAAGAAAGATACAACAATTGCAATAATTCCTTGAATTTTCAAAAGGAGATAAAGGAAATGCCAGAGGTGGGAAAGGGGGAGGCAGAAAGGGGATTAGGAAGAAATTAGTAAAGGGCCACAAAAAAATGTTTACATTGTTCAATGATAAAACAAAAGAAAAAGAAAATAAAGGCACACACGCACGCACGCGCACGCACGAGAGATGCTGGGCCAAACCTAAAGTGAAACGTGCGTGACACAGAATTACGTTCAGCCGGCCAGCTAGCTTGATTGGTCAGAGCATGGGGCTGGTAGCGCCAAGGTCTGGGTTTCAATGACTGTAGCAACCAGCCAAAAAAAGAAAAAGAAAAACACACTGTATGCTTATGCTATCCGTCACGTGTCCCCCAAAAGCTCATGTGTTGGAAACATGATCTCCTGTGTAACAGTGTTAAGAGGGTGGGAAATCCAATCGTAATTGAAAGGTGATTAGATCACCTTAGGAGGTGATTAGTCGTGAGGATTGATCCATGATGGTTTACCGGGTGGCCATGGGCGTGGTCCTGATGGGTTTATAAGGAGGCAAGTCAGAAGCTTAGTTCTCTCTTGCTCAGCCCATTCTCATCATGTGACATCCTGGTCCCTCAGGACCCTGTAGAGTTCTCACACAAAAGGTCCTCACCAGATGTGTTCCCTGGACTTTGGACTTCCCAACCTCCAAACCGTAAGGAAAAAATTTTGTTTCTTTATAAATTATTCTGTTATAAGCAACAGAAACGAACTAATGAATACATAGTATTATTGCTATGTTTTTGAGGCTACATACGTGTACGAGGGTGTTTCGAAAGGTTAGTGGAAAAACTGAATTAAAAGATAGTACCCTTTCATGAACTTTGTCAGGACCCCTTGTATAGGCAAACAGAAGTCTAAGTACACAAGCAAGTCAAAAATTAATAATGGTTATTTTTTGCAAGTGGTTTTATTTTTATTTCAAAATATTTTCCCTATTTTCCAAATTTTCTGGAATATGTGCCCTGTTGAGAAAGAAAAGAAATATGTGCGCTGTCCAGTTAGCTCACTTGGTTAGAGAGTGGTATTGTAACATCAAGGTCAAGGGTTCGGATCCTGGATCCCAAACAGGCCAGCCACCAAAAAAAAAAAAAAAGAAATTTGTTTCTAATTACTATGTTGTGACCCTTCATGGACTCCAACCAACCTACAGCAGCCTGGGCCACCCTCCTAGGGAGGGAGGCTTCAGCCCTGGGGCACAGCTGGGGCTGAGAGGTGACCAGGAGGAGACCGGGACAGAGCACTAGCCTGGTCCCCAGGGATTTGTTAGAACTGCCATAACTTCAGGGGCAGGGCAACCGAGGCAGAGAATGACAGTAACCACTCAACGGCAGTGACGGGTGGCGCCCTGGCCCCCAGCTGGAGCCTATGCCAGCCCTACCCAATGGCCCTGGGTGCAGCCTGGTCTGCAGGAAGAGAGGGCAGGAGAGCTGGTGGGCAGGGCGCAGAGCACCAGGACTGGAGAGGGTCTGGATGAAATCTCCAGAGGCTGAAAGAAGAGGAGCGGCGGACAGCCCTGCACCAACTGCACACCCTTGTGCCCCTGCTGTGAGAACAGTGGCCGTGGCAGCCGTGGGAAGGACAGGACATTCACACTCAACAGCACAGACACAGAGTGGTGCTCAGAACAGCACTGCCACGAGGCATACATGGAAAAAGAAATGGTGAGTTACCTGGATGAGGTCTGGAAAATGGCCCGTCTTTAGCTTGTGTGACTCCAAAACATAAGAAAACCAAAATACTGGCCACAATACCTCTGTAAATAAAGAACAAACAGCCCCTCAGTGTGTGTAAAAATCTCCCAGGTGGGAGGCAGCAGGGACCCCAGGACACCCATCGTGGGACAGCCCCTGACACCGGGGGATGGGGCAGGGCCAGCGTCCATGGCAGGGCAGGCTGGTCTGCTGGGCCCAGGTGACTCCACCACCTGGGACTCAACTGCCTCTCAGGAGAAGGCCTTGTAAAGTTACACCACTAAGACACGTGCTTTACTTAAAAAAAACCCTAAAATTCCGTAGACAAGCAGGGTTCACTAAAGCCCATGTATGATGGGAAGATGTCAGGCTCAGAAAGCTTTCTGCTCCCACAGCATGGGGCTCTGTAGATGTTCCTATAGACTCTCCTATCCTATTAGGTCACCTCATCCAACACCAGCAGGGCTCCTGTCGTCCATAAGAAGACGGACATGTAAGTGCTGTAGCTACAACCATATAAAATGCATAAATCACAGGTGCACGAGATGGAAGCACAGCCCCCGGCAGGAGTGAGGGGCCAAGTAGCAGGTAGGACAAGGCCAGCTGAGTCCCACCATCTGCCAGAGAACGGGTCAGTGGATGTGCAGACAGCACTGCTCACCACCACAGCCCCCACCCTGGCCATGCACCCACTCTGCTACTCTGCACGTGCATGAATGTGCCCGTCCCGCTTGGTCTCACTGGATTAGGGGTCTGAGGGACACACTGGCCACAGCCTGTAGCACCACCTGCTCCCCTGGCACTGAATGACTTTCTGTTGACGGTCATACCACAAGGTACTGACACACTCTGCTGCCCCTAAGTTGTGGCTACTGTGAATGAAGCTGCTACGTACAAACACACATCCGTTTGGCTGCCAGGACAGATGGGTCACAGAGAGTCTACAAAAGCACTCTTAAAAAACATCTAGCAACAACTTTCAGTCTGAAATTCTCCTCTGCCTGCCAAGAACACCTGGGTCTTGAAAGCCCCAAGCAGATGCAGGTGAGACTGAGCCCTGCTGGGATGGCCAGCCTGAGCCTTTCAGGACTGGGGCACACAAAAGGGCTGCCTGCTGCCCTTCATGCAGCCAGGACGAGGGGCTCATCCATGGCAGGACGTTTATGTCCCAACCCCCCAAGGGCACATGTGAGTTTTTGGACCAGCCTCCAGGCAGCAGGAGGCTGAGGGGTGGGAGACAGACAGCCTACAGCACAGCTCGCCACAGGAGATGTGAAAGTACCTCGTGGGGCCTCCTAGAGCCAAACACAGGCCCCAACGTGGCTGTCCTTCCACGGTATGTGGAAGAGGGCTGTGATGTTAGGTGGAACGGCAGTAAATACTTTCCCACAGCCTAGAAAGGAGAGAAATGAAAAGAGGGACACAGGTACCAAGGGAGCCACTGCCCATGTCCCTGAGTGACGATGCTGTGCCACATCCGCCCCAGCTGGACAGCATGCCATGGCCACATGGGGTTGCCATGCACTGCCTGGTGTCCAGAGCACCAGGTCAGCCTTGTGGCTTCAACACACAGCATGCGGCCCAGGGACCGACTTATTTACGATGACTGTGTAAGAATAGTTTGTAAGAATTATTTAAGTACTTGGGAAGGTTTATCAGTAGGGCAAAGAAAGTTACTCTGAAACACCTCTAAAGTAAACTTTTAGAAAAGTTTTAGATTTACAGAATTATCATGAAGATGGCACAGACTTCCCACAGATCACGCACCCAGCTGTCCCTATACCCCCATCTTAGTAGGGGCATCTGTCACAATTAATAAGCCAGGATTGGGCCGGCCTGGTGGCGCACTGGTAGAGTGCGCCACTTGGGAGCGCGGCGGCACGCCTGCCGAGGGCTCCGATCCCATATTGAGACCGGTCCGCTCACTGCAGAGCTCCTCAAGGGTGTGGGGCCTGTTTTAGTCCGTTTTGTGTTGCTATAACATGAGTTTTGGAGGGGACAACATGTCCAGACTCCATCAGGGCCCCTCATCAGTGCCCTTCTCAGCCTTGGTGAAGGCAGAGCGTCCTCAGATCCTTCCAGGGCACAATTAGGGAGGAGAAATTCAAGCACAAGATACAGCCAGCGCAGCATCTACAGAGACAACTAGACTGTGTTATTCAGGATAGCTTTAGATGTACAGAAATACTGAGCGGAGAGTAGAGTTTCCACATGCCCCCCACCCCACAGACAACTCCCCTGTTACTAGCATCGTGCGTTAGTGTGGACTATTTATCATAATTAAGGAACCAGTGTTGATACATTATTATTAACTCCTGCAAAGTCCATTCTTTATTCAGATTCCCTCAGTTTCCCTTGCTGTCCTTTTCCTGTCCCACACCCATCCAGGACACCACGTGACATTTAGTCATCACGTCTCCTTAGGCTCCTCTTGGCTGTGACAGTTTCCCAGACTCTCCTTGTTTTTGATGAGCTGGACACTTTCGAGGAGTCTGGTCCCATACATTGCAGGATGTCCCTCTGTTGAGACGTGTCTGCCGTTTTTCTCATGATTAGACTGGGGTTGCAGGTTGGGGAGGAAACCACAGAGGTAAAGCACTGTCATCACATCACGTCCCGGGTCTGCACTGTCACCGGACTTACGATGTAGACGCTGACCTTGAGTGTCTGGCTGAGCTGTGCCGGGCAGGTTTCTCCACTGTGACCCCATCCCCCAGCCCTGTCCACACTGCACAGCACACAGTAGGGACAGGGAGTCACATGCTGCCTCCCTTTAGGTGCAGAATCTGCACAGTCTGTGTGGTGTTCTCCTGCAGGGGAGATTCATCTCTTTTCCCCACTCACTTGTTTAACCACATATATTGGCATGGACTCATGAATACTTATTTTATACTTTGGGTTATATTCCAACACTGTTTTGTTGCTCAGATTGCTCCAGCTTTGGCCACTGGGAGCTCTCTGTTGGCTCCTGTGTCCTTTGACATAACCCCATCACTGTGGGGCTCCGATTTGTTTTTCTGAGCACTTCCTGACTTTGTGGCACTACGAGAGGCTCCAGGCTCATCGCCGACACTTCCTGCCCCGTTCCTAGAATGAGCCACTTCTCCAAGGAGCCTGGGTGATTCTGCTGGAGAATATTAGGACCCTAACCTGGGCACTAGGTGTGCTCGGGGCTGCTGGAGTACAGTTGGTTCTAAGCCCTTTCAGCTCACAGAGCAACAAGATGTACGTGTATATGAACCAATGTGTGCACACACACATTATAAACATCCCCATCTGTAACCCTCTGTACAATATCGCGTTGGACATGAGTTCTTAGTGATGTCTCCAACCATACCCCAGCCTCTCGGACGGCTCTAGCCCCCTCCCCTTGATGACCTGTATGCTCCCCTCCAACAGTGAGTCTCCCTGCACCATCACCCGCCTTAAGAGCATACAACATCCAGCAGTAACAGAACGGGAACCCAGGGCATAGGGGATACACTGTCTAGAGTGCAGTGCTCCACGCAGTTCCTGTGGCTTCTGTTTTACAGATGTCACTCGGTTTCCGAGCTGCTTAGCACCTCCTCCCTGGCCCCTCCGGGAAGGTCTCTTCTGTAACAGGGTTAGAATCCCTGGTCCCAGTCTGCCTGCCTGCCTTCCCCGACCTCCTAAATCAGTTTAATTTGCACACATTAAGGTTTATCTTTGTGTTGTCCCTTCTATGGTTCTGGACAAATGCAGTGTCCTGTGTCCACCATCAGAGCAATCTCACTACTGCAAAAATGCCCTGGGCTCCACCTGCTCATCCTCTCCTTCCCCTGGAAACCACTGACATTTTTATCCCCACGAAATCTCGCCTTTCCCAGAGTGCCACCATGTGATATGCAGCCCTTCACTGGCTCCTTCACTGAGGTACTCCACGTCTGACAGAGCACACTCATTCACCCACTCCCTTACTAACGGACATCTCGGCTCCTTGCAATTTTGAGGGGTTATAAATAAAGCTGCTATAAACAGTCACGTGCAGGTTTTTGGATACTTAGAAATGCGACTGCCTGATCACATACTAAGAGTATGTTTGGTTCCATAAGAGACTGCCAGCCTGTCTTCCAGCATTGCCACACCATTCTGTGGCGCATTGGCAATGAGTGGTAGTTCCTGCTGCTCTGAGTCCCTGCCAGCATCCGGTGCTGACAGTTCTTCAAATGTCAGCCATTCTGACGGGTGTGCAGTAGCATCTCACTGTTTTCAATGTGAAACTCCCTGATGACAAGTGATGCTGAGCACCTTTCTGTGTGCTATTTGCCAACTGTATGTCTTCTCTGATGTGGAATCTGTTTAGATTATTTGCCCAGTATTTTTTCTGGACAGCTGGCCAGTATGAGGATCTGAACCCATGACCTTGGGGTTACAACACTGTGCTCTAACCAGCCAGCCCTGTTTGCCCAGTTTTTAATTACGGTGTTTCTTTTCTTATTATTGAGCTTTAAGAGTTCTTTGCATATTTGAATGCATCCCTTATCAGATACATGTTCTGCAAATATTTTCTATAACCTGTAACTTATCTTTTCATTCTTGTTAACAGTGTCTTTTGCAAAGCAAAAGTTTTAACCATAATGAAGTCCAACCTACCAACTTTTTTCTTTCATGGATCGTGCTATTAGTGTTGTATCTAAAAAGTCATCACCAAACCCAAGGTCACCAGATTTTCTCCTATGTTTTCTTCAAGAAATTTTATAGTTTTCCATTCAGGCCTGCCTGTGAATTAATTTTGTAAAGTGTGAGGTCTGTGTCTAGATTTATTTTTGCATGTGGATGTCCAGTTGTTCCAGCTTCACTTGGGGCAAAGACTGTCCTTTCCCCACTGGACTGCCTTCACTCCTTTGTCAAAGTCCAGTTGACGATGTTTTTGTGGGTCTACTGGGCTCCCTATCTGTCCATTGATCTATTTTCTGTCAGCATCACATTGTCTTGATTGCTGTAGCTTTACAGTAGGTTGAGATGACACCCGTCAGCCCTCCAGCTTTGTTCTTTGGTACTATGAATATACTTACATGTATTATCATTTTACATGTATTTTATTTTATATTTATTTATTTATTTTAAAAAGATGACCGGGTAAGGGGATCTTAACCCTTGACTTGGTGTTGTCAGCACCACACTCACCCAGTGAG